TTCATTCATCAGGGTCGCCCAAATACCGATATCAAAACCAGTGTATGAGGTCGTCAGTTGCAAAGACTGGACACCCTTAATCGAATTCGAAGTAGAATTCAAAGTCCATAATATGGAACAACACAGGGAATTCACTCTCATGCCGTACGTCACACAATCGCAGTGCTTCCTAACAACTTTGAAGCTACCAGTGCGCTGCCCCTACGGCGAACATAGCAGCAAAAAACTTTGCCAACTGCAGTAACCAGATGGTATGTAACTGCAATAGCTACAAAACGCCACAATCTTGTCATTGTCCACAACAAGCAATAAGGGACATTAGAGCAGAGATAGAAAATCGGCTACCAATATACACTCCATCTGTAGATCTAAGCTATGACGATATGCAGATTTACGCTCACTCCACGAAGAGCGAGGTAACCCTTGCCATCAAATCAAGCTTACTGATCAATAGTGCAGAATTCGTCATAGAACAACAATGTTCCGTCGAGCTCAGCACCGTGAAGGGTTGCTACAACTGCCAAGAAGGAGCTGAACTCACAGCATATTGCACTACAGCACTTGAATCCACCATTACAATCCAGTGCGAAAACATGGCATTTACGGTGGAGTGCGATCCCTCCAATCGAACATCAAAAATCGCACTACAATTTGATAAATCTCTCATCGCACAAAAATGCTTTGTGATATGCGATAAGAAGGAACTATCCTTGGAACTGAGAGGACAGTTACACTACCACGTGAGATATTTTCCCGAAAATATGTTCGAAGAAGGGAACACTGCATCCGCAGCATGGCCATCATTAAAAGGTTTCCATGTTCCAGACTGGAACCAATAATAAATGTGATAAAGAGCAAGTGGAAGCTAACACTTGCTCTTGATCACCTTTATTATTGGTTCCAAGTCTGGAAGCAGTAGGTGTAACAACTATTGCATTAGGAATCACCTACATGTTTGGGCCAATCACTATTAAGATAATTGCAAGAAATAGAGAACTCAACCCTTCAATTTTTAAAAAGGATAACACCAAAAGAATCAAAAAATGGTCATAAGAATAATGATGTGACCAGAACCAGCTCATAAAGCCTAGATTACGTTGATATCAAATGTAGCATACAGCGTTCCCGGTCGATGCACCAAGTTGTCCCGATCAGGGGCTTGTGTTTTGTGCGATCAGTGGTTTTGGTAGAGTTGGCTCTTTAAGGTTTATTTCGAACCGAACTCTTGGCAATGCGCCCCGTATCAGGGGGCACCCCCTTTTATAGGCACCCAGAGCTGATACGGGGAGCAAATACACCTTACAAAGAATAGAGTCTAGAAGAGTTCAAGCGTAACTAGGAGAGTCTAAACGAGCGCCTAGCAAATAATGGTATCAAGGGGGTTAAGCGACCCCTAACAAATAATGCTATCAAAGAGGTAGCGACTCCCTAGTAAATAATGGTCAGTAAATAATGGTATCTAAGAGATCGCGCGGAGCGAGACACCATCTATCGGAAAACTTACCGTTCAATATGATGATATCGAAATGAGTGGACGGACAGACGTGGGCTAAGCCCTGAGAACCATTGTAGTTTATCGTGTTTCTAGCACATGTCGCTTGAACATGGGCTAGCATGATTTTGCCGTCAGGGTCTGTTTATCACTTGTTGGGGTACAGTTTTGCTACTGTACCTGATCTCGTGACTTTTTAGGTCTAGACAGCTCCGGGGGAGGCCAGCGATGAAAGTCTCATGGATAGCTGCTTTCCAATTATGAAACAGTAGCTGATAAGTAATCTCCCAAAGAAGAAAACAGGCAAGAAGCGTCCTCCAGAACAACATAAACAAAATCGCTCCCTCACAGTCACACCTCCCTGCGGTCTCTGTGCAACCCCTAGCTCACAAATCTCTCTATCACATCTCGCAGTAGTTGATATCATCCAGTGCAAAAAAAGAATACAAAAAAAACAACAAAAACGCAGAGGAAAAACTCTTGGAAGGAAAAAGGAATTTTATCAACGCGGTGTCTGAATTTGGGATTACGGTAGCGCACGTTTTGTGCGTCGAGGTTTTGCATCACGAAAATTGCGTCACTCGTGCTTTATTTACACCGTTTCACGAATGAGTTGAAATTGAATGTATATACCCTCGCCAATGCGAGTCAACTGCCAATAAAGGGGAGTACGAATTATCCAGTGGGCATCTAGCCATGCCCGCCCAAGCTGGTGGATGCCTTCGCAGCCCCCCAACTAAGAACAACTGAGTGCTCGTCGGAGGAAATGCTAGCAAGTGAAGCGCGGTCCAAACTGAGGGCAGGCCGTTAGAACTAAACTTACAGCGGCTGTAACTCGCTTCTCGCTCGCTGTGCAGACGAATAGAGTAGGACAGTCTCTAGCTTGGGGTTGTACTACTTGCACAAGGAAGGACGACCATAGTACTCGTCTCGTACTATCTCGAGCGCGGGGGCTGTCTTCCAAACAGGCAGACCCATACATAAACGGCTAATTTATTTGAGTTATAGTGAGTAGTAATACGTGTTCCTTAGTAATTCGCTTACGCAAAGACGAACATCCTCAGCTCGTGGCAATAAGCAGTTAAGGGGCACATCGTTGTTGGGGAATCCCCAATAGGGGGGGGTCGTATTTGGGCTGAGAAAAATTTATTTTGATAGTTGATTTTTCTCGCTTCATGGACGTTGTAAAGGGAAGGTGGAGTCCGTATTTGTCATTTTAGTCAGGGGGGGGTTCGTATTTTACCGTTTTTGGCGTTGTGGGAGTGGGCGGTGACTTTTTGGCAATTTTCCTGTTTTTTCCGGTGTTTCATGGCGTAGCTATATTCTTTCCGCCGCCCCCGCTCGAGGCAGCAAATTTTTGGTGAAAAAGTAAGGAAGTCTTTCGGGAAATTTTGGAAAAAGAGACGCAGGAAGACTGGGAACAATTTGATGTAGAGAGAGGAGGGGTTTGTATAGTCCTAGCGGCTTATTTCCTGTTTCACATGTGGCTATTTACCGCCCCCGACTCGAGCCCGCCCACCACGCGCTCGAAAACGGATTTCGATGAGCGAAGGACAAGGGGGTGGGGGGTCCGTCAACGCAAACTCCAACAAAAAAAAAAAAAAAAGCAAGGGGGCAATATAGAGTGCGTTAGAACAGTTCACAGGCGGCATTGCGGTTTTCATCACAGTTTCCCTTCCCGGGCAAGGCTAGCCTATTTCTACAGTCGAGTATTGATTTTTGCAGAAGGAGAAGTACATCTCTATTAAGACCTTACTAAAAGGAGGATTTACAGCGACCTCAAATTAAGCGAATAGGACTATCCTCACTTCAGAAAAAGCGCACTGGCGAACAGGCATCTGCTAGTTGCAACCTGACGACAGGATTGAATCACCTTCGTAAAGTTCAGCTTGATATATATGATCCATTCTTGAATATCAATTTTTTTTTTAGGTCTTGTCGGGTTTGGAACAAGTCCAATCGATCAATGTACTGGGTGCTGGGATGTGACCGAGCAAAACGCGAACTTGGTTATGTTCTCCTCGGCATAGTACACTTAATAGCACAGGCGATCATAGTTGCTATCGATCACTTTCTCGCGAAATACATGGGAGATATTCCAGTAAGCGAAGCCTGGAAGATGGTGGGAAATTCATTCTGTATATAACAAGGATTGCTGGGTAGCCCGAAGCTGATCGAGAAGAGCGGACAAGGGGCCTCAGAAAGAGTGTGTCACCAAATTCGTTCCGCTGGCCTTAACAACAGTAGGACATGGTTCCAGAAAGTGGGGGGGGGGGGACATGACTGGTGTATGACAGGAGGCGATAACAACTGATAACAGCTGGTGACTAGATCAACGACTTTCTTTGTTGTCAAATTTATCACTTTCGGTTTCCTTTATACGTGAACTATTTCACATCATAGCTGGGCCACGCCCTCGTTCGCCGAGGAGAAACCAAACTTTCAAACCTATTCATTAAAGACAATCTTGAATTTATCGCAGCTGTTTGGATGGGGTAGTGTTACAAGTGCTTTTGTCAATATGCGCGGTGCGGAAGCCGTTCGGGTTCTGACCCGCGCACATTAGGCAGAGGCATTAGTTTGGACGTCTTCTCGATCGACTTCTGCTCGCACCAGGCAAGCCCTCCTTCCCATCTCAGCCGTTAAATGGGCACTAGACTAATTCTTAAGGGAGAAACGCTAACTGGGCCTCACTGACCATAGTAATTCTCAGCATGAACGCGTTGAAAGAGCGGTCTTCTCACGAGAGATGGGCTGTTGGCGCATCCTAATAAATGATCGTTTGAAGACGAAAGTGTTTTATCATCATAAGCAGCCATCGATTCATCAGAATTCCGTCATAGAAGACAAACAAAGCTTAGAAATTTCTGGAAAAAATGTAGCTCATAAAATTCAAGGTCATTTTGTAGGAGCTTTTTAATGTTTGATGGTTAAGCAGCGCAGTGTAAATCACTATCCTAATAATACATGTTAATAAACACATAAAAGGTAAAAGACTAAGATAAAGGGAGACAATTTAGGATCTTTGGTCATGTTCCCATTTAAAGCCGTGGACCAGAGGAAGGTGCTGTACACACCTAAACGTGCCGAAATCTACGATGAACTAATGCATCCCACTGATAAGACAGTTTTGGGCGTTATTGAGGTAGGCTGAAAGCGACGCTCTTCAGGAAAAACTGTCGAATCTGAATTTTCCAGTATTATCACAAACCAGAGGTATTCGCCGTCAACGGCACTTTCAAGGATGATCTACAGTATCTGCTCCAGTACGGTTCAATTGAGAGTATAAGTATGAGTTTAGGTTCGTTGGCCCCGTGCTTTGTACTGATTCTATCGTGTTAATGCTTTTGCTACAGTAATGTATTAAGCTTATAGTTTAGATATGAAAACTTGGCTGGTTAGGTACGTTTTATCGGATGGACCTGATGAATTTTTCCTATACCGAAGTGAACCAAAAGAGGTATGGCATTCTCTGTTTTTGGGTTATAAAGCTGAAGACAATCTGTACACTCACCTTTGTGGATTCTGAGATGAGCGAGGTGAGTGGGTGCAGGACTGCAAGAGCGTGCCTTTTCCTCCACTCGAAAGTGCACAGAAGCGGGGCTGAAGTGTGAAGTGAGTATTCCGAGACTCGCTCTGCAAATTTCGAGTTTCGGTAGATTTGAGATCAGCGTCTAAAACCACGTCGCTTGAGCTATGTCGCATTACAAATGACCACTTCGACCTGGTGACCATCCCTAGTAAGTACGAACAGGCGGGAGGGAGTCACTTTGCCCGGGCTCAGCCTCAGCAGATCGCTAGACCATGAGCTGGAAAATAAATGTCATGGATGATGATGCCGAATTGGCGCATTGGCGCTAACTGGGCCACACAAAAGTGAATGCCTTATTCGTGATCAGGGCGCCGATCAATCAATAAAGGCAAACTTTGAAGGAAATTTTTATATGTTTCCGGAGTAGCAGCTGCAAAATATTGCCGGAAAGTACACTCCTTATCCCTGAGCCAGAGTAGGCGTGGCATTTGAACATGGCACGGAATTGGTTACTCGTGGAATATTTTCATTTGAACATGGCACGGAATTGGTTACTCGTGGAATATTCCAGTCTGGGACAACTGTCATCTTGTTCTGTGTTGGACAGAGACACGACAACAATTGTGTCAAGATGAAAATATCTCACCAGAAGCATAGACACCTTCAGGTTAAGTTGAACATGCGGCCACGCCTACCCGATCTCAGGGATCTCGAGTATAACTCAATGTGCAGGAATTTCGAAACATTTGTTACCCACGATTATCGAGAAGCAAGGCAATTCCAAAGAAACATGCCGAATTGAGACTCCAAGATATATGAGGCGTCAGCTAGTGGTGGCTTCTTCCGCGGGCAGATTCGAAAGAGTGTGGTAGTATGAGATAACTGGTGAATATCGTGTACGATGACTGCCAATATGAATATGATATGTGAAATCGGTCCAAGAAAAACTTAGCACGTGAAGGAGAGTTGTAGAATAGCGGCAGGGTTAAGTAAGAAACATGAGTCAAGAGCACTTGTAGGCTATGAGCGCTAGAATGCCATGGCTTGTGATAGTCAGTGGTAAGGACGTGTGATATGATATCGGATTGTTTCAGGTGAAAACTAGAAGCAGGTTAGTATCAAGCACAACCACATTCCGGACTGCGTTATTTCATCGAAAATGACATCCTGTGAAAGTAGTAAAAAGTAAAGTAAAGTCATTTCCAGGCGGAATTTCTGTTCAGTGCTTATCCAGAGCTGACACATTATAATCTGAGTCGTCAAATCGGCTTTGATTTCAAGTCAAGGGACGGCTTAACTCTGCAAGCATACCTCAGTCTTCCACCTGATGTGAGCTCTACACAACATCGTTATGAATAAGAAGCGTCAACCCTGTGACACCTTTTCAGGCTGCACTCCGAACTGCTCGGGACGCTCCTGCCTCGGATCTCGACTACGTCAACCTTGGAATGCTCCCTGTTGATCCTCAGAAGCTTGTCGTCCTTGTTCATGGTGGTCCGGAAATCAGAGATCATTATGGATACTCGGGAGAAAACATATTTCTAACGAATAGAGGTTACGCGGTACTTCAGGTTAGGTGCAAGTTCATTCAATGATCAGTAGATAACAAGTTTTTATGGAGAATTGCAGGTGAACTATCGTGGAAGCACTGGCTTTGGTAAACGCTTTCTAAACGCTGGCAATGGCGAATGGGCCAGAAAGATGCACCTTGACATATTAGATTCGGTCAAATTTGTTGTGACAAAAGGGATTGCAAATAAATCTCAGGTTGCTGTTATGGGTAAGTGAGCAGCAGTTGATTTCTCCTCGATATATTTCTGATGCAGGGATTGTCGATTGGTTAAGATGTCCACATTCTGCGCCACGAGTATGATCCTGCCAGACCAGCCTTGCAAAAATTGCGAAAATGGTGACGATACCAGCATCAGGCGCTACTCACCACTCGTGCGGTCCTGGGTTCAAATCCCGGGTCGACTCCCGCCCAGGCCAACCAAGCCTTCTACCCTCCGGGGACGGTAAATTGGTACCAGATTCGTCTGGGAGGATAAAACACTGACTTGTACATCGGCTGGCCACCGCAAGTCATTGTATAGGCCACATCGCATTCAATAAGCCACTACGATTCTGAATGGAAGTAGAATGCGTGCCGCATCCCACAAAGGGATTGATCAACGGCGAAGACTTTACTCTTATGTTTTTACCAGCATAAGACCCACGTTGAGGGGCTCTCATGTGGACAGTTGTCACAGCAAGGATGACTACAAGTATCAATGTTAATATTAAGTGATAGCGGAAATCGGACCTAGCGCGCTGAGCCATCGCCCGGGTTCTGTGGTCAGTATGCGAAGGCTACCAAAGGATATAGACTTTGGTCAAGAGGCTATTTCGAACTGGGACTCTGAGCGTGGAATGGCCTACCGGAGAATCTCGTGAGTTCACCAACCTCATGCGACACGGGAATAATCGCGTCCTATGCCTTCAAGAAAGCAAGGGCTTGCGAGATTGGAGAACTAAGAGGAGGACCATAAGGGATACTGGACATCACTGGCAGTGGTGTACCGGCTCGATCCATTCGCCCTGAAATTGAGAAGGAGGAGTTTTATAGAGACCTGAACGGGGCTACATGATCAGTTTAAGAGAATGAATATCTCCCCATAGCGGCGATCTGAATGGCCTTGTGCACAGTGACAAAAATGGGGGCCCTAGAAAGGGTGCACGAAGCCGAGGATATTTAGCAGGGAACGGCGGGTGACAGAGGATTCTTGACTTGGCTACAGTTCACAACTTAACGATTTGAGCACCTTTTTTTTCAGAAAGAGAAAAAGCCAGAGGAGAGTGGAAGGCTTACTGAACAGTGGAAGATAACAGAAATTGGCTATGCACTCGCAAAGTTGTCTGTGAAAATCGTCA